TCACCCTCCCACGAAAGTCAAATATTCGACTTGCCCCCCCCCCCCCCTCGACTTCTCCCTTCCTCACTCGAAAAGAAATCTTCCTCCCCTCCTCGGCCTCGCTGACCCGGTAGCGTCCTCCCGAGGTCCTGACGTAGCGATGAGCATGCTTTTAGTCTCAAGCCTCAAGTTCACTCGGGAGGGAGGGGAGAAGAAGGGTATACAACATGCTGCTTACACTTGGTGATGTTGATAGATTCATCTCCGAGATTGAACGAGTGAACTTGAGGCTTGAGACTAAAAGCATGCTCATCGCTACGTCAGGACCTCGGGAGGACGCTACCGGGTCAGCGAGGCCCAAGAGGGGAGGAAGATTACTTTTCGAGTGAAGAAGGGAGAAGTCGACTACGAAACGTGCTCGTCGCATACTCGACTTTCAACCCGACAGGTCAGATCATTATCACGATGGTTGCGACGAGTTGATAGAAACAACAGTGGGATACTGTCAGAGCATGAACTTCCTGGCGGCGATCTTGATCCTGCAGGTTCGGGGTTACTGTGGTGCAGCCTTGCAGTTTGCATGTGACGAGTGAGCTAGATTGATGAAGAAGAAGCTGCTTTCTGGGTACTGGCTACTGTCGTCGAGCGCATCTTACCCATGTACTATCACCGCTCGCTCCTCGGGCTCTCCATCGATCAGGTGGCATTTCCTCTGCCGTAGCGAGCTCATGGCGAGGCTCTCAGGCGGTTTTGAAAGATTATCTCTGCGCGGAGATGCCGGCGGTATGCAAGAAGTTCGAGGTGATGACCGTCAGCCCCGAGACTGTGGCAGAGGCTGACAAGAGCCGCAGGAGCTCTCCTGCGACCTTTCCTTCGTCTCCACCAACTGGTGACGGCAAATGCAGTACCATGACGGCAGTAACGCCCTGTGGGTCTCAGGCTCCTCTGCATCTTCATCAACAGCCTCTCCTGGGACTGCGTGAACCGAATCATGGACATCCTCCTTCATGATGGAGACGCTCAGATTCTCCTCCGTGCTTCTGCTGCTGTTGTGAAGCTCATGCAAAACAAGGTCCTGCTCAATCTCCCTCTTTCCCTTCCCTCCTCCTCCTCGTCATTGTCATCGTCACTATCACCTACACCGCCGCAGCCACCTTCTCACTCCCCTTACTCTCGCTACTGCTCCTCGTCTCCCTCATTTCCTCGTTTCTTCAAAGTCTCTGTGGATCTATTCCAGCTCTCCTCACTATGCAGCAGATCCTAGCTTGCAAGACGCAGGAGGACCTGCTGATGGTGCTAAAGCCCAAGGAAGGAACGCTCACCCTCGAGAAAGGTTCAGCACTTTGCCTCCTGCTCCTCTCATGTGGCGGTGCAGGCAAGGCGATCGAAGCAGATCAACTCATCAAGGTTGTCTTCACTGCCCTCCCCCCCATCCCGGACTTGCCGCAGCGTCGAGCTCTCCTGGACCAGTCGTTCCGTGACAAACTTCGCTTCTCTCCCCATATTCAGCTTGCCCCATGTCCAATCGCAGGCATCTGAGGAGGAACCTTGGCGTGACAAGGGTCAGTCCAGACAATCCCAGCAACTTGTACATATCCATACGCCATCAGCATCTGAATTAATTGCTGAAGCAAGTTCGATGTGCTTAAATCAGAAGTGTAATGAATGGTTGACAACATAAAGATTTGAATTGAATAGAAACTGAGCGCTGCTAGATCTGGAGATCTACATCGACCAGCACCTCAGCTGCTCATGCTGCTCCACCCTCATGAGTCTGCTCTGGCGCCTTGATCCTGTCGGACAGATGCTTCACTGCCTCGGCTAGCCGCTGCTGCTCGCTCTCAATCTTAGCCAACTGCATCCAGCACAGCAGTCAGTGGAAGGAGGCAGGAGGGCGAGAAGAACCAAGGCGAAGGGCTAAAGCAGAGAAGAGGCAGGAGGCAGAAGGCGAGGGAGCACGAGATACAAATCAGTTGGTCAACCTGCTGCTGGAGCTGCTCGAGCCATGCTGGGGCTGCGGCAGCGGAATCTTCTCCGCCTTTCGCGTCCTCCATGGTCAGCGCATGGGAAGTGGCAGCAAGGCCACGAGATTCGGAGGAAGTTCTCCGATGAATGCTGACAGTCGATCCGTGCCTTGCTACCATCCCCACCTGACAACAACCTGAGAAACTCTTGGACGACCGCAGGTAGAAGCACCGTGAACAACTTTGACTTGTCTTTCCCTTCCGTTCGCCGCAGCTTGTGGCTCAGCAAACCCCACATGACAGCTGCACGTTGTGCCGTACTGATTGCAAAGGTGCCATCTATTTTGTCGATGTTTTGCCTCTGAAACAAAGGCATGCTCTTGGCGAGGCTGTTGAGCTCCTCTTGAAGGACAGCAGAGTGTTGCTGAAGGACGCTGCGAAAGTCTCTGGTGCTGATCTTGATCGCGACGATGTTGGTCTCCGCCGTCATCCTCAAGTCGACGTCCTTCAGCCCTATCAGAGACGAGGCTCCCCAGCTGGCCTCGCCCACAAGGGACCAGTCACCGACATAATCGCTCTTCTTCAGCGTCATGATCGTCTGCTCCAGTGACTCGACCTTGGCACTCCCTCTGGTGATGATGTAGAGCCCGTCGCTCGTGCTGCCGAAGTCGAACACCTTGCTCCCTTGGAAGTAGGTCAGACTCTGAGTCACCACCCACAGGTCAAGGATCAAGGTCATCTTCTCCGGATGCTCCAGGAGAGAGAAGAGGGGGACCCGCATGATGACGTCACCGTCCATGTAGGAGAGGAGCTTCTCGTTGAGAGAGGGAGGCAGGAAACGGAGGACCTTGTCCCTCTCGCTGCCTTTCTGCTTGTGCTCGTGGTCGAACTTGACCCAGTTCAACACCTCCGTCTCTATGGTCCGAGGAACATCATAGTCTCTCAGCAAGTCAACGACTTGCTGAACCTTGGAGTCTTTGTCTCTCGTCACGCGCTGAAACTGATGCACAGCCTCCTGCACCTCCGCCAAGAGAATCCCGAACAGAATCGCACCGATCTGCATCAGGATGATAACGAATCCGACTTCAGTCGGGTTGTTTGCGCTGATGTCACCGAATCCAACTGTAGTAAAGATTGTGACGATAAAGTAGAAGGAGATCAAATATTGCATCAGCCACTTAGGCTCTCTGTTCGCGTGTTTGCTCTCAAGCAACAAGTCAATATCGTCATCGCTCAAGACTTTCAGCAGCCAGAACAGGCAGGCACTTGCGTTAATGATGATCGCCATTACCAACACAACGAGAATAAGCCTCATGACGACTGGAGGAATTCGCAATAAATCTCCGATCGTGCTCGCAGTGGAGCTTGACTTAGCGACTTTCAGAACCTTCAAGAGCTTGAATATTCTGAGAGGCTTGATGATTCTAACCAAACGCAGCATCACTGGGTTTGACAACTGAACGCTGTTGCTGCCTTCACAAGTCGACAAGATGGACATTTCTATGTAAGAAATGGGAACTGATGTGATGGCATCGAACAAGAACCCATGTCGAAAGTAGTGCTTTGCTACAACCGAACGCTCATAAAGGTACCGCCCCTTGAAGTTTGTTCAACGTCAGACAAACACAGAAACAAGTCAGACTCATGATTGAAAACCTGGAAGAAGATGCCAGTGTTGAAAGACAAGATGATATCCCTGAAACAAACATCTTGATCAATATATGCAGTCAATCTTGACAGTCACTCACGACAAAAAATAAGAATCCACGAAGACCTGCGTTCAACAGGAGCATCAGATATTCCAACTTGCTAGTGTGCAATGGGTATCACGTCGAAAGGAAGAGTTGGAATAGGCGAACAAACATCTCGATCCCAGAAGAAGGCGATTGTGATGGGAGTGACGATTGCTGTGTACAGCAGCAGACTAGCTCCAAGCAAAAGCCACACTGTCCCAAACGGCGATGCAGGGTGAATCAAGCCGGCACGAAGGTTTTGACGTTCCTTTGGGATGCCAAAGACCCACAGCAGACATGAATGATGCTGAGAGAGGAGTGAGAATCAGATCGGACTGAGCTCGCGGTCAACTACCTCATCTTGATTCACCGTCGCGTCTTCATCAAGCATGTCCGTCCTAAACATGGAAGCTGATTTCTACAAAGATAAAAGAGCGTCAATAGAGCAAAGCGAATGGTCCAGAAAATGATTGGTACTTACATTCAAATCACGATGGACCTTCTCCTCAACCACTTCCTGCTCTCTGTCTTCGGATGCATAACTACCTTCTTGGAAAGGCGACAGATCGCATCTTTCATTGGACTGGATAGGTTCATCTTTGCCGAAGACAAATGTTGCTGATGCTGTTTCCCTCACTTTACGATTCTCCACTGGTACAAAGTTGAAGTCCGAGCTTGATCGTTGAGACTCGGAACTTTCATTAACGACATCTGAGGGGCCGAGCATGGTATGAAGGCAAATGACTTCACTGCTGTCCTTCAGGTATGAATCTTGCTGAGGAGATGAGAGGACATTCTCTTGAAGGTGAGGAAGCAGAGGGGGGGGATGATATAGGCTGACCTCCCCTTCCCTCTCCGGGTCCTTCCAACTCCGAACTGCTTGCATTGGAACGGATCAGGTTGCAACGACCACCCCTAGTAAAGCCATGGAAATGACCGGTCTTAGAGTACATATTGAGATGCTCGATACTGAATGGGGAACAAACAAAAAATGGTTTCATTTTCCCTAGGACCGGGTCCTACTCTCCTGGTTCATACTGAAGTAAGTTCCTAGTACTCGGGTCGTATGTGTGGCCTACTAGGAATATGGTAGGACCCAGTCGGTAAGCACAAGTCGGTCTCAGAGTCTCGACCGCAACCTGTTGGTCTCCTGCAGGAGTGACTGAGAGGTTCGAGTCAAGCGATCCTGACTGCGACTTACAGGCTGCGGCTGACTCTGCGAACTCCCGCCCACCGCACGCGTCTCTGCAAGCATGTGTCAGATCTATTTCAGAGCCCCATGCACGTCCAGCAGACCTGGAGCTGCAGCTGATGAGGTAGAGAGAATTTTCTTGAGGCCATGCTTGACATGTCCCAATCGGCTTCGTAGTGAAGACAGGGGGGGTTCAGCAGGCGGCGCCGGCGTGCAGACATTGTCCGCGCTGTCCTCACTTGATAGCAAGCTGGGATCATGGAGCACCCGAGAGTCATCAAACACAGTCGCCTTCTCACTTCCTTCCTTGAGCCTTTCTTTCTCTCCGACCTTGTCATTCTCCCTGCGACGAGCCCTTCTGACATCGTGCTTCCTTTCGCCAACATCTCTGAAAGTCTCAACAAGACTTTGATCATTCATCTCGCGACTGACTACTTCTCGACCAGACAGGCGATGTCGCCTTTGTCTATCGCCGTTGTTTTCTAGACTGAGAGGTTTCTGCCGTGAAGGAGAGAGGCTTCCCTCATCTGCTTCATGATGATCACCTGGCGCGCTCATCTGACTAGATCTCGATCTCATGAATTCCGAAGTTTCAATACTCCGAACTAGGCGAGACCACCAGCTGTTTGATCCAGTCAGAGAGCTTTGAGAGATGTACAGTTCACCTGAAATGCTGAGTCCGAAACTTCTCGGCTTCGAACTGTTGAGCGGTGATTGGTTCAGGGCGTCTACAGTGAGCCATCAAAAGAGTCACCCTGAGAGCCTTCATGTACGTTGCACCCAAGAAAGAATGATCAACAAGCCCAAATCGTCCTGCAGATGGAAAGCTCTCAGTGCTTCACCGACTCCTTCTTACCAACCTCCTGCAACAGGATGCAAGAAGATGAAAGACGTTCCATCTTGCTCAACCTGCACTCCTGGCGAAGGAATTATGCATCAGGCGACATAATAAATGCATGTCGACACCTGGAGGGAAAGCAGGAGATTTTCCAATGAAAGAAAACCTGTGTGCGTGTTGGGAGGCGAACGAGAAGGAATGGAAGTAGAACAAACCACTTGCGGCCCTCGTCATCACTGGCGTTTCTTCTCAGCAGGATACCGTGCTGCTAGAGCGATTCATGGAGGAAGGGGCAAATCCCTCTCTCAAACCTGTGCGCTCGCAACGCCCTCAGCCTCGAGCTTCCTGGCGCAACTATGCGATGAGTGCTCGGGATGAAGGCGGAGAAGGTTCCAAGTGACTCACTTGAGCGCCTTCGATGCTCGAGCATCGATGTACAACATGGGCTCATTCGTGCTGTCATGAGCTGAGGAGAGACAACATGTACGAAAGGACGACATCACCTGTAGTAGTTGACAGTGTCGCCGTAGTCATCGTTGGTCAGGCTGCAGGAACTGATAAGAGGGTGTTTACAGTTGCCGCAAGAAAACCTCGATGCTCCACCAAAAACAATCACCAAGATTCGAGCCTACATGGAGTCAATCGATGCACTGAAACGGAAATGGTCGCCACCCGCTGAGCAACGCTGAGAAATTTTTTGCACAAGAAAGTGATCAAAGCCCCCTGACTATGAGCGATATGTACTACAATCCCTAGCAAAACTGTGAATGGACCATATTTTTTGCTTGGGACCTCGTTTCACCGTCCTTTCCAACCTCACGCAGATGCAATTTCAAATGTTCAGCTAGATCTTTGACTTCAGAGGTCTCAACATTGAAAATCTGACAAGGATATGAGATAGTTCGATTCAGAATTTGATTTCTAACCTTTTGTCGGGCAGCCTGTGAAAGATCCGCAAGTGCACCTGCAGTCTTGTTCCAGAAAGGATAGCAATCACAACCAAACCTAGGATCACATCATCATTTCAAATTTTTTTGGATGAGAAAGAGCTTTGAAAATCCACTTACAGTCCGCTGATGACGGATGCGGCTGTCAAGCAATCGCGCTTGTCTGTGCGTATCCCATTGATGTACGTCAGACGTACCCTAAAAACAGGCTCATCCGAGTACTTCACAATGTCTTCACGACAGTGACAACTCATGGGACTGATGTCTTGCAAAAAGTTGGGCATGACATAGACAGCTTACCAGATGAAAGGATTACTTTGCTGTCTCTTTCACAATTTGTGCCTGTCTACCTGTCTACCTGCCTGCCTGCCTGCCTGCCTGCCTGACCCCTTTACCACTCCAATGTTCTTCTTACATCTCTCCCTCCCTTCTTACATCTCCCTCCCTCCCTCCCTCCCTCCCTCCCTCCCTCCCTCCCTCACTCACTCACTCACTCACTCACTCAAACCCTGCCTAAAAAAAAAAAACGTCTACTGGCACAGATCCCAATGGCTCTTCCCTCCAGAACCACAAAGTACCTCGGGGCCTCCCTAACGCAGCCTCACCCTAAAATTCAGTGGCGGCTGCTTGAACTACAGCAGATCCTTCCTGCCAACCTTGGGCGGTCTAATTCCGTGCAAG